CTTCACAAGTTTTAAAGGAATATCAGGATGATCTATTTGGCACAGCATATGGACGGCACCGTTGAGAGTAACCAGAGGCTGGACTACAGAGTAGCATACTGGCAACGGCAATGTGAGTGGAGTATGCTTGTTGGCGAATATAGTTTTTTTGTGTTTTTTTAAACATGGGTTGGGGTTTAGTAGAGGGGGATGCTGGGATTTAGTATAGAATGGGGGATTCTGAATTAGTACAGAGGTGGATACTGTTTTTTTTTTTTTTATAAAGTACTTTTCAAAACAAACCTATGTTTCTATGAAAATTTTACATTTTGTTTTTTGCGGCCCACATAAACTTAAACCTTAAACCACATGTGGCCCGTGCTAGACTTTGAGTTTGACATGCTTGCTCTACAGGCTGGCAATCATTCTTAGAGTATAAATGAGGATGGGTAAGGCTTTATTAACTAAATGTCATTCTACAAAATACATAAAAATAAAAATATGTCATAATTGATTATTGAAGTGAAGGAGAAGAAGAATATTTATTATATTGTCCTTTCTTGGAATTAGAATATTTTGGATAACCTTAAATGAGAAAAGTTTGTATATACGTTAAAAAAAAATAACTTCCAGTAGTAGCAGTAAAGGATATAAAAGGATTGAGTATTTATTAATAAGCGTGAATGTACATTATGGATGGATTAGATGGGCCTGTTGATTCCAAACTCAAAACACAATATTTCAATGTTTATATTTGCAGGTGGCATTTTCACTCACTAAGAAAGCATGAAACCAATCTTGCCTGTTGTATCATGTTTACCATTGTCTTATCATTTCATAATACTAATAAATGGACATATTACTTTTTCACTCACAGAAAGAAACTTCTAGGAATCATACAGAGAAAAGTAAACCATATTTGTTGTAATTAGTTTTGTTTTTATTGAACACATTTCGGTGAAGAGACACGTGAAGATAATGTTCATTCAAGTCCACTGCCTTTGAAACCTGTAATTTTATCACATGCCTCTAAGTACTGATCCATAGATTCAAAACCAAGATCTAAAATAATTAAACCTTGGCCATAGTATTTCTTTACATGCATCAAGAAAATAAATAATTAGAAAGCATTATGATTTTAAAATATTACTCGTGTTTACTTTGTTTCTGGGTTTATGATTTTGTCAATGTAGACTTCCATTACTTGCAAACAATGTATCACATATTTATCTGCACCATTGTCCAGTACGTCCATTATTGCAAAGAATGGACACATTTAACCTTGGAAGAAATGTTCAACATTCTTCTAGACTTCCAAGCAAACATTTGATTGATATTATAAGTGAAAAGACACAGTAACACTGATGCTTCTGTAGTCATTCAGACCATCTTCAGTTACCTTATCCAGCCCATAAGGTATGAAACATAAAACAAGAGAAATTACTTTAATTTATCTTGTAGGAATGAACTAGGAATGAGCGATGGGAGGTATGCCTGACTCCACTAACAGAAAAACGGAACTTGATTAAAGATATTTGTAGAAGAGGAATGTCTCTGTTTTAATATATAAGATAACAAAATAACTGTCAATAGGGCCACATATTTTTTTTGTTTGTTTCCTCCTTACTTCCCTCAGTTGCCTAGCAAAAAGAGATTGATATTTAATGTTCTGCACAATTCAAGCCAGAAGGACACAGGTAATGAATTTCAACTGCAAGTGTTTTGTGGGCCCCTGGAGCAGTGAAATAGCCAAATAAATTATTTGGATGCAGGTCTACCATTAGCAGTGCCAGCCTGATGCCAGCATAGCACTAACATGTACACTTGGTTGCTCACTTGTTGAGCAGCTGTGGAAAGATTCAAAGTAGACAAAACAATTCATCTTGTCTTGGTTTGACTAATTTGTATAGACACAAGTAAAAATGTCAATGATATAATCAGGAAAATCTGGCAATTAATTAAAAAATGGTTAGACATACTTAAGAAAAAAATATTCTATAAGGTATCTCGGTCAATAAAACCACAAGTGTAATTAATATGCAATGTCTTCTTAATTGCTGTAGAAATCTTTGACACTTTTGACTTTTTGCATAGACAGCTCTGAACTGTATGCACCAGTTACATTTACAATATTTCATTAACATTGGTTATTGTGGTATACAGGGAATTTGTGAAAATATAAGCAAAATACTATTTGGTAATCTGAATATTTACAGTTGAAAACAATACTAAAGGACACCTAAATACTATTTGTAGAAAGCGTAACATTATTACGTTATTACAAATAAAAGCTAGAACTGAATTTTATATGAAGGCTAGTTGATCTAGAAAACAAAGGGATTTGCTAAGAAAGCTGTTTTTTCTGTGAATGTTATCAGAACAATTACAATGTACCAAAACCGTTACCTTTTATTTCAAGGATGCAGAAACAAGACACGAAATCTTTTTATTAATGGCTTCTTTAAAATAGTAAAGCCACTAAATATATATGCCCTATTACATATTAGTACTGCAATTAAACAAATGCAATTAATGAGGATGACCTTATGGCTACAGATCACCTCTTACAGCTATAATTGATGTCTATTACCTGTACGGCGCTTTTCATTCTGATTGGCAGACAAAAATTAATAACTCTATGAGTTTTCCATAAAACCCACAGTTCACCTGTTCCTACTGAGATATGAAACTTGTCCTGCCGAGCCTAAGTCACTATGAGAGTCATACAAAGACAGTTTTGACACAAGAATTCTTGAATTAATGAATACTGCTTTGAAAATATAGCAAGAGTCAGAAATCAAAATACGGCATGGTAATGCTGGGTACGGAAATGACAGCTAAAAGTATATTGTGCAGCAGAAAGCTGTGCAATAAACCTGGCAAAGCTCTAGAGAAATAGGCCAACTTACGAATGAATAAAGAATAACATATGTATTCTGTTTATCTGCATCATTACATAACCTTCCAGGCTGTAGTTTATTCGTATAAGGTCGTATATACCAAGTACTTCTGCTCCGTGAGATATTTCCCTTGGCTAATAAATATCTTACGGACCATTTTCAGCTGTCTTTGTGCCTTGTTGTATAATGGATATCACCAAAGTATATGATATTATTAGGATTATCCATTTGGTTATACATTCTGCAGCATTTTACAGTGTCTCACATCTGAAATAAGAGTGCATTCTATGAAATCGAAGGTTGCATGTCGAAAATATATACAAACCAGTATTAATCTTACCTTGTACTGAGAGTTTGTTGTGTTAATAGATTTTAACAGTGCAAAATAATTAAAATAAAAAAAGGGTGAAACCTAAATTGGTAATCAGGTTCTCATGTCTGTCTGTCTGTCTATCTATCATTCCGTTGCTCCATTGCATTTCCTGTCTCACACATACTAGATTAGACTGACTGTGCACAGGTTTAGAGAATAGCTGACAACTCTCCTGCCAGTGATGCAGCATTATATACATAGACACAGACTGGCTACTGGGACACCAAGGCGAATGAGAACAGACCATGCCTGTGTGTGACAGTATTAAAATAAATCAACACTGACAGGACAGCTGGTGTTATATCCAGCAATTCACTTTGCAATCCAACTAATAACTTTGTTGTTGTTGTTATATGGCAAATTTACATTAGGAGAAATGACATTGAGAATTAGAGGATAGAAATATACTAGACTTAGAGATTTGTTTTGTTACAAACTGTAGTATGTCTGAATGTGGGTTGATGGGGTCATCATTCGAATTCCCGAACCGCCATACAGATCAATCGAAAAACAAACAACTCCTGCAATGGAGTAATGGACAAGCATGTTCATTTGATTGGTTATTCAGAGCTCCACATGTGACACCAAAAAATTTAAAGTTTGATAGGAAAAAAGATGACTGATGGCTAGGGGACACCCACTAAATGTTGATTGTATTCACAGATCAAGTGAGATGTGAGCAATAGAGGAGAAATATCAGGAGCATATAAAAATCTTAATTAATGTATTATATATGTATTTCTGCCACTCTCCTTTTCTATTCTTTTGGTTACGTTTTCTTACTTGTTTTGTGAACCAAATGGCTGTGAATCAGATTTTCGCTCTTTTTAGTTTCATCTGATTTTTTTCCATGATCTTTTAAGGAGACAATATTCTGATGAGACATTACATGCACAAAATTCTGCTATCCTGAAATTGTTTTTGTTTTCGGACAAAGTGGTTCTGCTGAAATTAATTTTGCACAAGTCCAGTAGTAATGTGTATTTAAACTACAATAAATGTGTTTAGAAATTAGTCTGTATAAATAAGATACATTGTTCTTGTTCTAAATTACATTTAAGTAGCAAAAATTGTTATTAGTAACCTACAATTCTATAGAACAGCCCCGCCCCTAGCCACACCCCACACATCAAGCTTAAATGTAAAGTGCCCCTCTTTTGTCTATTTGAAATATTGAAAGGTATGAAAATATAATTCTGAAAATAAAGACAATAATGAAGATCAAACTGTTATTAACCCTTACTTTACATGATATTTCTTGAATTTACTTTTCCAACA